GGCCCCAGGTACGTCCCCACTCCCTCTTTATAAATCATTCCATGACCTCGCATTAAGTGCTGATCAAAAATGGTCAATAATTTGCCGGTCTGAGTCTAAACCTTCCTCTCTAGATCAGGCAATCGAATGCAGTCTTCAATTTCACCGACAGCTTACTTTTCTCCGTTGACCGATACTGCAGTATACAGTACATTAGCTACTTTTGGGGGAGCGGAAGTGAATAGGGGCATTTGGTCCGAATCAGGTGGTTTTCAAGGTTCAGTGCAAGCCAGAAGTGGGGAGTCTCTGGTTGCTCAACCAGTGTGAATTGTAACCATCGTTGATGTGCATTTAAACTGCAATAATAGTGCCATCCTGGCGTTTACCAATAGAAATGTTGTTAACGAATGCCGGTTTCGGGGAGCGAAACACGAGAGGATTATCCCTAATGTAAATGAAAACCAGTAGAACCACAGTAAGGAGGCTTGGTCCTCTGCTTTGATCATTCGTCTCTAATGTGTCGTTTCTAGATTCCAGCTCCCGACTCCGATGGTGACTTATTTTCCATTACGTATGTGACCACATTGGACAGTCGCGAGTTTTACAGCGTTTTCCAGTATTTGTGGGGTACAATTTCTTCCAGGTTTGTTTGTCGACATCTACAATAATAATGCTCTTATCACCCATCCGTCGGAAGCACTTCCGGCATATACTGATTGTTTAAAAGACGCCTTGAAGCCCCCATTTTGTCCACGTCGGGCAATAGCCTGTTCTACCCCCCGAGAATGGACAATTCTGATCGATAAATCTGTCTACCGAAGACCAGAAGGCATTCTACTATTCACTTACTTGTCCACATAACGTGGTTGTCTGCGATGCCACTAAGGCTTAACTTTCCATGTGGGGTGTTTGTATCCCAGCACTCAGGTGATTTGGGCTGAGAAACTGTGAAATATCCATAGGTAATCATTATACGATCAGTAGATGTCACTGTTGGGCGATCTTATAAATCAAATAAGCCTTTCTAATCTCGGGACTTTCGTCTTCCATAGAACGTCTCTCGAATGGCATGTTCAGGTAGAGTTGCTTCTCTGCTACCGTTTCTGACATTTGTGACAAAACATGGCCGACGGGAGCAACACAGTTTAAGCTTGTTAGTCGATAATGGGAGCCTTAATGTCCTTAGGCGAAAACTCATCCAGAGTTGGAAACTTCTAATCTGGCCTCTGACATTTTCGTGCGATTAATAGGCGGACGTTTTATGAGCCTCTAAATATTAAACACTTTGGACCGGGTTCGTTAACCTGCGTTTAGGCAACAAACTCGTGCAAATTTTAGGGGAAGTAGATTACCAAACTCTGGGTGACCGAATATTCCACATCTTTCAATGCCTGACTGAACGCCCATATCATGAATAAATCAGTGTTGAGTTTGCAACGGTAGCTGCCTCACTTAGCACGGAAATCAAGCAGTACTTACAATCTTAAATGATGTCAGGATTTTTAAGTTACAAGTCGAAAAGAGCTGTAAGCTAAAAGGCACAAATGCAAGATCTTGAGTTGACGTTTAATTGTTTTAATAGTTGTCTGGTTGCGTTGATGCTTTAGGCCATTGCGTTCTGTTGGGGGTGCGTTGGGTTTTCTGTTCTTTTTCTGTCTATTTTATCCTCCGAGACCTTCATCCGGCAGGAATTCACGACAGAAGTCCCGTTTTCTATTTTGCTCTGGGTTTTCGCGTACTACTTGTTGTTATACCAGATCCCACGGTCACTTACGTACGTATATGCTTACGAAGAATTTTCCCATGGATTCCATCTCTGATCAATGGAATTCGAAAGCCGGCCCTACTCTTCTACCACCAGTCTTGCCATCGGAATCGTTTGTGGCTTCATGACCGCCACAAGTTGTCCGAGCGGTTGGCGCCCCCGGTCCTAAGGTCGGGGGCTTGCCTGCTGTCTCTAAAAATCTGCCAGGTCGTCTTTCTTATTAAAAAGAGCCATCTCCAACCTAACCATGGAAAGGCTCCCTTTCTCCAACGAAGCACCTTTGTAACTTTTCGGAATGCAGCTTTCGCGAGGGGTACCAACCTGAGGGTTGCAAACGGCTTTGCCTGCCAGGGAATTCGTGGGATGCCAAGCCTTTTGTGTAGTCAAGGGGAGCAAGTGCTCCGATTGCTTCCCCTTCGTCTTGGAAACAGTGCACAACAAATGGGTAGCCATAAACTAGCAGATCAGATCTTAACCTGTAACAGAATGTCCGATTGGCACCCAAAATTGCATGCGTTACTTCTCCGTCCAGGTGCACTTAGCATCTCTCTCTCTCTCTCAAGCCTAGCCCCTATAGTTGGTCTGAAGCTAGTTTTGTGATTAGCTAACTTGTCAACAGTCTCCGCAGGCAGAACCCACTCAACAGTCCCTTCGCGTGATTGGTGTCAGTTGACGTCAAAGGTCAACCAGGACACTAGTCGCTCATAAGCTGGAAGATCTGAATTGCTGATGCGAGGCTGGGCAAAGACTGGTACAATGTCACCAGGAATTGAAGACTGAGGCACTCCTCGGCCTAGTCCGCTCATTGGGTCTTGTTACCAGACTGAGATGGTACACGTACTCGATGCGTGTGTATTTGTCAATGATGCCTTTGACGGAACGCACCCCAGTCATGGGAATGGACTGCTGCGCAAATTTTTGTCAAACCGAACTATCAAGACGACAACCGTAACAACTAGTAGTAAGGTAATACATTGCCATTAGGATCCTGTAGTGGCAAGGACTCGGTTGTCAGAAGTCTGTTGGCGCACAATTGTTTAGGCCTACAACACCGGTCTGCACTAAATGGTATTCATTCTGATAACTCAGACAAGGTTTGCCCTACCCCACCAGGGGTTGACCACAAATTAACCTCTTCAGGTGGCCTCTTGTCGGATGGGATCTGTCGCCGACTTACCCTGGTATCACTTTCGCTGATAGCTACCTTGCCAAAGATGCATGTCTAATTTTCCCAGGTTAATCAATCCACATTTTGCCGATTTTTTGGACCATTTAGGGCTAAATTATTCGTCCGGAGTTAGTGGAAGATAATTGACCAAGGGCTTCTTCAGTCTCCGAGTTATCTCCCTCTCATTTACGCCTTTGTCATGCTCACTGACGTTCCCCAGATAATGCACACTCCTTTGCATCTTGTCTTTCTACCATCACACGAGCAATCATGGACTTTGACAGTGCTGCATTATGTACTAGCTGCCAGTGAGAAGTGTTAAGTTGTTGATTTCTAACTTAGTTCAGTGTTGAATCCTTTGTTGACACTTTGGTGGAATGTGGACCAATGATGTGAACACGTGATCAAACTGGTTGATGTTAATTTGAGGTAACCACCATGCATCAAATAATTTGTTGACGACAAAGCTGTTAATCTCGTTCTCACCCCTCTCCCGACCGTCCACCGCCGTACAATTTACTCCTCGCTTTAACCGCACCTGGGGCCAAACTTTCACTGGATTATGCGTTGTGATCCTCAACGGCCCACTCGTATGTTCACCTAGTCTGTACGCCGCAGTCGTCTACTGGCTTAAGCAGACCACTTGACTGAACTCTGCCCAACTTCTCTTGTTTTTCCAATTAACAGGTTATCATAACTTTATCTCTCTTAACCCTGACTTTGGACAACCACTGGTCCGTTTAAGCAAAATTGGGGTCCTAACAATCGGAGTGTATTTGCGGTAATACATACGGTCTCCTTCACGCCTCAGGTCTTCGTCCCGAATAAGTGCTGACCCAGTTAAGCCAGTACATCGTGTATTTTGCGCGTTTTCGGCCTATCTTCATGGTCAGCATTTTATGA